CCTTTTTTCCCCTGTTTTTTCCCCATATTTTTTCCCTCGGGGCGGCCCGGCTGTTTGCGTCCCGGCGGGATGCGCTTCTGTGTCAAAGTCACAGGAACGGGAAAGTGTCCTGGAGCAGTTCAGGCTTCCATTTTGAAATCCTCCCAATAATGGGATCCTCCTTCGTTCTTCTCCATCCCCCGCTGCCCCGCCGTGCCCTGCCCGGGCTGTGCGGGCCGGGGGTGCCGTTATTTGAATAAACAACTGCTGGGACCCGCCGCTCTGGGGCTCAGCAGCGCAGGAATTGCACAGAAATGCCGGCAGACCTGGCGGGATCCGTGTTACATCTTATCAGACCGGCACTTCCTGGGCGAAGTGGATGATGCGATTAAAAAATCATTTGTAGATTGTTTCTCCCCTTAGTTCGCAGTTGTTGGGGATTGTGGGGATTGCACCTGCCCTTCATAAAATCTTTCATGGAGTGGAAGATTTTACTATCAGGCAGTGCTTCCTCACTTTGCATGTAGGATTAATTGCCCTTTATTAATTTTGCCTTATTGCTCTTACTTAAAAGCCTGCAAATCCCCCAGACCAGTGCTTTCAATCTCCTTGAAGTTGCACTGTGGAGTATCAATTTCCTAGGGGCAGCATTGGCTGTAAACAAAAGTTGATTGTTTACAACACTTGTCATAAACCCATCTCTTTGGTCTTAACTTTACCCTTCTTGGGCTTATTTTGATTCCTGTTTTTCCCCCAGACTGATGAATTCATGAATTCATTCTCTTGTCCTTACACCTTGATCTGTATTTTTACCAGTGAAGTTAGATTTTGAGGGGTTTTTTTGGGTTATAGAAGGCATATTTTGTTTGGACTTCAGATTCGTCTTCTTCTGTTCACAGTTGAAGGAATATCAGCAGAAGAACAGCCCTGGAGCCACTGCAGGAACTAAGAAAAAACGCAAAACTAAAGAAGGCAGCAGACCTGCGACTCCCACCACCGATGACCAGCAGCCTCCAGAGAATGTGAGTGTCTCAGTCTTTCTCTCCAATCATTTGCCACCTCCCTCTTCTTTGTTTTTTCTGGCAATCTAACCAGAGCTGGCAGTGCTGGGGTAAGAGCTGAGTGGTGTAGGTGCTGTTTAATGAAGTTTGCTGCAGCAGTTGGCAGCTGCCTGTTCTGGAGGGTGCAGCTGGCACCAGAGTCTGTCTGGTGGTGCCCTGGGTGTGCCCAGAGCTGCTGTGCTGAGGCAGAGTGTGGTCCTCAGCAGCTGCACCAGACTGGTTCCTTGGCTGCCTTGGATTGACGTTTTCTCTCTGTCCTTCTCTGAGCCGTTTCTCTTTCCCCTTTTCTTTCGCCTCCTGTAGATTCAGAACATTCTGAAGGTGCTGGTGTCAGACCTTAACCGCTCCAATGGGGTAGCCATACCCTCATTGGACAAGAGGAAGGTGAGGCAGTGCTCGTGTGACTCGCTCTCCCTCCTGCATGCTTCGGGTTCTGCTCACTCTGAGCTCCATCTCTGGCATGGAGCCCTGTCTTCACATATCCATTGTCAGTTGCTTCAGTTTTGTTGCTGTTTTTATTAACATGGAGCTCTTTGTTACCATTGCTCGTTTCCTTCTGGTTTGTGTCAAAGTTAACACGTCAAAAAGTCTTTCTTGAGACAGCTGAGCTTGGAGAAAAACAGGAATTTGGGGTGAGGCAATAAACTCATTTATAACAGCTGAGGAAAACTGCACTAGGAAGAGGTAGTGATTCCTTATTCTGTATTTCTCCTGCTCTTGGTGTCATTGCTTTGTTTCCTGGAGCTTGGTTTCTGAAGGGCATGTTTCTGCCCATCTCCAGGCAAACAGCTGCACTGGCTGGTTATTCCAGCCACCCATTTTATGACAGGCATGAAGCTGGCACAGGTGATGTACAGTCTGGCAAGGAGCAGGGGTGTAAATATGCTTAGGCAGGAAGTCAGATACTTCAAAGCCAGGCATGTACAGGCTTTAATGTCTTCACATTCCCAAGATCCCAAAGAGGAAAGGGCAGGAAGTATGCCAAGAAGCAAGAGAAAGGTGTTCAGGAGCATACATGAACAAACAGCCTTTTAAAAACACTTATTTTCAAACAGTTAGTTTATTTAAAATAAGGCCCAAACTGTGATGGGAACTCAGAGAAGTCAAATTTTGTAGCTGAGAATGTTCTTCCAGTTTTGTTGTACCAAAGCTCTGCTTTTCATTTTCACTTTGCATCGTTTTGGTAGCTTATTTCCTTACCATTGTTTCAATGTAATTGTCATAAAGTAGCTCATTATTACAGTCAGTGCATATCCATGGGTGTCCAGCAATAAATATAACAATAGTAATCATATGGGATACCTGACAAATGAAGTGAAACCTGCAAGGTGGAATGGAATTCCCTCTGAATTGCCTTTGTATCATTCTTTCTTTTGTGTGATAGTATGTGACACACAGAGTTCCACCAGCTGGACTGTGTGTGCAGGTTCTGTACCAGCAGAATTTGAGTGATGTGAAGACACCCTGCCAGTTTGGGGTGCTGGGTGTGCCTCAGAAAACTTGTGTTGTGACTGAAGTGTCACTGTTGTCCTGGGCACTGTTTTCAGTTAATACTTTTAAACTCAGAGCAAGTTAAATATTGGAAAAAGAGATTTGTTTCCCATTGGAGGGTGAGATGAAGATGGGAGGTCCAGTGCTTAGCCTTGCAGTGAAGGCCTGCCTGTGTCTACAGCTTTAGTCATGTTCTGCAAAGGGACAATTTATTGCTCTCTTCATTCTTGTTTCCCCTTTTTTTTTTTTCTTTTTTTCTCAGAGATACAGTTTGATCTGATTGACTGTTATGGAATTTTTGGATTGTTGTGCCTGGGGTTTTAGGAATTATTTGAAAACTAAACTTTACCTGCAACATGTAACGAAAGAACAATTTCTCATTCCAGTTGCTGTCTTGTAAAAATCCTGAGTCAGGAAAATGCTGTTTAGAAACTTGATGCTAATAGGGCAGAAAAGCTGATCATTGGCAGCTGAGCTGCTGCTGCCATTGGTGTCTCATGTGAGGCAGAGCCCTCCCTTGTCTCTCACTTCAGCTTTCTTGGCTCTGAAACAGAGGAAAACCAGCAAAGTCAAAGCCTTTGTGTGAAAGTAAATGGATCCTACTACATGCTAAGCTGAGCAGAATTACTGACTTTTTATTTTACTTTATAGGCATGTCACACAGCATAATTTCCATATAAGTGTTTTGCTTTTAATGCTTTCTGTTTCCAACAAATTCAATTGCTCAAAGAGTTTTGGCGTTTTTGACAGTTTATTACAAAACTGCTCCTTGTGAAGAAAGAAGGAAGGAGTTCTTGTGGTTGAGGAACATTACTGGTTTCTGCATCTTGGAAGTATTAGGCAGAAAGAATGTTCAGATCAGAAGAAATTATTTTGAGATGCACTGGGGAATTAATTCCTCCCGTCCCTCTGATGTTTATATTGATGAGTGTGTGATTGATAAAGGTGAATTAACCCTTATTTGGAAGAAGTGAGGGAGTTTCTGACCTTCCTAATAAGCACCTAACATCTATTGCTCCTTCAGAGCATCAGTACCTGTCCTGCTAAAAAGAAATTCAGGAAATTCTTGTTTTCTCTTTGTAGTCTTCCAACTTACTGCTTTCATTAAATCTGTCTCCACTGTTGCTGTTTTAACCTTGCTGCTGGATTAGTGAGTGAAGTGCTGAGAGGTAAACAGGGAATGCCAAGAGAGATTTCTTGGTTCCTATGAAGTGCCAAGGAGGAAGTAACTGAAGTAAGAGGGAACTCTTCCAGGTGGAGTGGCAGAGAGCTGCAGTATATTGGTGGGGCTGAATGCTGAGATTACCTCCTTTGTTTTGTTGTGTTTTTAAGTGATGACTTACTAGAGCTGGATGATGAAATCAATCAAATTGCTGTAAAACACAAGAGCACTGCTGGGCCTCAATGGCTCTAGTGCTGTGCAAGGAGATGCAGTGGGTGAGTGCAGTGTGGCTTTGTAGAGGGGGCTGCAGATGCCATCCACCCTCCCACAGAGGCTGCATAGGAACTTGCTGTCCAGAAATAGTTTTTTGGCTCTTCTCTTTTCTATTTAGACTCTTCTAGTCATGGGATCCATGGCTGCAGCAGGGCCACAGGCACCTGCTCCCAGCCACCCTCCCTCTGGCCTGTTGATAAATGTCCTGTTTCTAAACTGGTGGGTCATGGCATGCCACAAATTTCAGTGAGTTTTAGACAGAGCACTTGAGTCTGACTAACCCATTTTTCAACTAGTCACTCCTCTGTTCTTTTCCATCTTCATTTGCATACAGTGATCTGTGTTTTCCCCAGGAACATCTTAAAGGTGGTGCTTTTCCAAGCACAGTAACATTTGGCTTTGCCCTTACTTGATTTTTGGTGGGTCTTTTGCAGTGAATCTCATGTGTGAACTTAGAGTTTGGGTGATGTTATTGCCCTGTGTTTAAAAAGGGAGTTGGATTGTGGGACCCTGGTTCTTTATGGAAGGACACTCTGGGACAGTGTTTGTCTGTGGTTGATGCATTCACCTCTTTGCTCTGGGGAGAACACAGGTTCCCTTCCATGTGTTTCCTAATGACTGCTCACATCTGTCTGGTTTTCACAGGCAGGCTAAAGGTGATGTGTTTTTGTGTGTGTTTGTTCATGCTGCATGGAGGCTGTAATCCTGTGCTGTGTTTTGTGACAGGCATACTTTGACAGTGATGTTGCCACTCGTAGTGCTGAACAGCTTGCACCTGATGTCCCTGTGCTATCTAACAGCAACAGCCTCCCTAGTTGTGGTTCTGTTCTGCCTGCTCCTGAGAGCATGCAGCTCACACAGGTTTGTGACTTTCATCAATACTGCCATTGAACCATTGAGGATTGGTTAGTGATGCCACATTAGTGTGGAGAAAGGGGACCTTCATAAATATGACATGACTAGTTCAGGTTTTCTCCTGTTAAAAATACTACATTTCTGCTGTTAAAAATACTACATTCTCCCCTCTCCATGCAGTCATCATCTGAGAGCAGAGGGAGTACTAGCACACACGTGGCCCTGCAGCTTCCAAAGCTGTCTTCCTTCCCCTTCTCTCCTATTTCAATCAGTCTGGATTTCCTTTTACTAATTAAAGATTCGGTTGTAGCTTTTTTCAGCAAAGTGATGATTATCCTGATAAACAGGAACAGCAGACATAAAGCTGATACACTTGAATTTCTCTATTGCAGACTCACTCCACTCAGAAATGATGTGTAACCCAGGGCTGAGTTGGTGGTTTTAAGTTCATCTTCCTTTGGGAAGCAGTAATTACAGGAGCTGTGAAACTTGAGCCCAGGTGTAATCAAGTCTTAGTGACACATTCATAAGTGTGACTCCCATCTTTTACAGGCTTACAAGTTTTTATGTTTTAATCCACAGATGAATGAAGCTGAGGATCATAAAAATGCTTTGGATGAGAACAGGTGAGTGTCTGTGTTGGCTTTGCAACAGGATCCCAACAGATTAAGGTTTTATTCC